AAATGTTAGATTAGTGTATTAAGTGTTAGATTAGGGTATAGCAAGGAGGTGAAGAGTGTGCACCCCCAAAGACCTCCGAATTTAGGGAGGGAGGAGGTTTTTCCTCCCGCTGTAGAGTTCTTCTCTATAGTGCCCATAATTGGAGGCAAACCCTTTCAACTTTTCTTTTCAGGAAGAGAAGAAGACAGATAGTAGTAGTAACTGATGTAAGAATGAACGGAAGATTATGGAATTTATCAAGTTTAATTAAAAGTTTTGGGGAAAGTTGTAAGGGGACCCAATAAACAGGTAAGATAGGGGCATAAGAAAAGAGGAATTAAATGAGATTAAAAAGGACTAGGTTGATGAAATAGGTTTTCTTTTTTTTCTTTTTTTCTGGTTATTACTGGTGTTAAAAAGCGGAAAATGTGTATATCAACATGATGGGTAATGATTTGTGTGCATGTAGATTGGATTTACTCAATAAAATATTATGTATATATAAAAAAAGAAAATGTTATTTATGAAAAATAAATACAATCAATAGTATTTAAAATGTAGAATATTCTGGGGGGGGGGGAACACAAACACATCCATCAGGGACAGTAGATACACAGAGGTAGGTTTATGCAGAAATATTCCTATCCCGATGGAGAACTGTATGCACCACCAGATGTTACATGTTCAGATCTTATTCCACTTCTAGGGCTATGAGTATTGGGTGCTTTGTAAGAATTTAAAGTCTCAATGGTGAACTGTTTGGGAGGTGGAGTGGAGAAGCTAGACTGAGCCCCCCTCTTACTTCTTCATGCCTGCCTAATGGGTGGAATGTTAGCATTTTTCAAAAGCACTCTCTATGTGTGATCTGTTGGGTTAGGATGAATGCATACTAACAAAGTCAATCTAATTAATTCTTCTTGATGGTTTCTTACTGATGGAAGTAATTCTCAGTTAATTACGTTTTCCAAGTCTGTTGTTTTTGCATAATGGAGTACAACAAACTGCTGGGCAGAATTCATTATCACCTCGTGCCACGATCCCAAAGGCCTGCACCCACATGCTCATTCCAGACTAACAACACTTATACTGAATAATATTTGAGGAAAGTGAGATTCTTACGATAAAGGATACTGAAGAAGAGGTATGACCTCCACAAGCCAACCATGGCCAACGTAGCTCTCCTTACCCAAATATATGAGTGCAGTTGTCATTAGATTTTGCCTCAAAGGGCTATTTTCGAGCTGTTTGTTCAGACTAAGTGGTTTTTAAGCAAGTTAAAATAATTTTGAGAAGATTCTCCAGTTTTTCTCAAAGTGGGATTCATGGTGATGGAAAGTGCCATCAAGTCACAGCCAATGCTCCCTCTAAGCTGTGGAGTCCTATGAGCAAAAATTCTACTTTGTGAGTTACTGGCATTAAAGTTGTGAGCCAGCAATTTGGCTATGACATAAATTAGTTCGCTCTGGAGCCCTCCTTCCTGAGCTAAGACAAAAATGCATGAGCCGGAGGCTAAAAAACTGTGAGCTAGCCCACACTAACTCAACTTAGAGGGAACACTGGTAACAGCCACCTTATGAAGACCCTGTAGGGTTTTCAAGGCAAGACATAAATTGTTATGTATTGGGACTGAAACATTGCAGGACTGTGCTGCCTGAGACAGGGTGAACTTGGAGCCGAATAACAATAGACCAACAGGATTCTGGCAGTAGCCAATTAAGATGTAAAATTTTGTAAATAGCCTATCGTTGGGAGTGGGGTGTGTTAGGGTATGGCCATTGCATGCAATATAACCGAGCTGAAGCTCTGGTCCATAGTCTTGTTCTTGCTGAAATCACTGATTAAAGTAGAGCTGATCACTAGACTTGGAGTCTAGTCATCCATGGAACCCACCATTTACCACAAATAGAGGCGGTTTGTCATTGCCTGACTCTCTGTAGCAACCCTAGACTTCCTTGGCGGTATCCCATCCAAGTACTACCAGAGCCCACGATAACTTCCAAGATCTGACCAGACCAGGCTGCCCAGCTCAGGGCTGAAGTGGGATTAGGCAGCAATAAATCATCCTTATATTTCACCTAAACTGACATTCAAAACAAAGTTAGAAGTTTCTGCCCAGATGAAATGCCTGCGGGAATTGTTTGAGAAGATAGAGGAATTGTGATAAGATTAACGGCACTCTAGGAAACAGTAATTTCACAGAACCTTACGAACAATGTCACTCACCATATTGTGGGTGGTTCTGAACCTTCTATTTCCAAGTAATCATATTTCTCTTCCATTTGAAAATCCGTAAATATGAGTGAAATGGTGTCTCCAGGCTCGGCCACAACGGTCCACGTGCAGTCTGCATTATTGTGATATTCATTAGGGAAATTAGGGCTAGAGATGATGCCACTGGATCCCCTCATGGTCCCTCCGCATGCATCCTCCGCTGTTAAAAAAGAAACATAAGGGGGGGGAACCATAAATAAGAAACAGCCATTTAACTATGTTTAACTATTACAGAAATAATGGTGCTTCCTTGCCATGTTAAAATCACTTTTCAAAATGCTGCATAAATAGCTCAGACATGTCCCCAAAATATTAAGAGTTCCAGGCTACCAGATAGCTACAATTTGCAAAACAGGTTGCCAAAGGCAGGCTAATTACTAGAAAAGTCAGACAATGGGATATTGTTAAACTTACAAGTCACAACAATGTCACCTATGCTGCCATAAGGGTTGGGGGTGGGGTACTTGCTTGCCAAGTCCGCTGCATTCCTTTTTGGCTTCTGTAATGCTTGTTTATCTATGGCCTTGCAGGTGCTGTGTGTGTAGTGTCTGGGATTCTAGGGAACCGTGGGAGCGCGCATCCTCCGCTGTTAAAAAAGAAACATAAGGGGGGGGGAACCATAAATAAGAAACAGCCATTTAACTATGTTTAACTATTACAGAAATAATAGTGCTGCCTTGCCATGTTAAAATCACTTTTCAAAACACTGCATAAATAGCTCAGGTAAAGGTAAAGGTAAAGGTTGCCTTGCTCGAAAGCCAGTCGAATCTGACTCTAGGGTTGCGGTGCTCATCTCCGTTAACCTGGAGGATGCAATTTAATTCATAAACACGATCAACATTATGACATGAAGCAACTCAAGCTGCAATTAAGTCAGAATAGTGGGTCTTCCAGTTTGGACTTGGGGGAGGGAACACTTTCCATTGCACTAAGAAATGCAAATCTGCCCTTGCAGAATACATGGCATTTTCTAGTAAAAAATAGTTCTTAAAAAAAAATAAACATCCAAAATCCCATCACTCCTTGCTTATTTTCCTGTTTTTACTCTGCTATTTCTCTACTATTAATCTGCTCTACTATTTTCAGAGGTCATTTCGGGGTTCCAGGCCACCAGATAGCTTCAGTTTGCAAAACAGGTTGCCAAAGGCAGGCTAAGTACTAGAAAAGTCAGACAATGGGATACTGTTAAACTTACAAGTCACAACCTGGAGGATGTAATTTAGTTCATAAACAAGATCAACATTATGACATGAAGCAAGTCATGCTGCAATTAAGTCAGAACAGTGGGTCTTCCAGTTTGGAGTTGGGGGAGGGAACACTTTCCATTGCACTAAGAAATGCAAATCTGTCCTTGCAGAATATGTGGCATTTTTTAGTAAAAAATAGTTCTAAAAAAAAGAGTAAACATCCAAAATCCCATCACTCCTTGCTTATTTTCCTGTTTTTACGATTTCTAGGGTCCAAACCAGTCATAATGGTTTTCACAGCTCTGACCTATCGACAACAATGTGACTTCAAAGTGATTTTAAAATGCCACAAGAGCCCAATCAGGATTGGTCACACAATACTGCTTACTATACTATTGCTGGGGGCCAAACCAGTCATAATGGTTTTTACAGCTCTGACCTATGGACAACAACGTGACTTTAAAGTGATTTTAAAATGCCTCAAGGGCCCAATCAGGATTGGTCACACAATACTGCGAGCTGAAGTTATCTATGCCCCCCAGTGCCTTTTCAAGTGCTGAAACCTCCACAGGGGCAGGGTGCACCTGTTTTGGCACTTGAAACATTGAGGAGGGGTAGTGGCTATGAGGTGTGGGGGGAGAGAGATCCAGTACCCCACTTTGGCCTCTCCTATACAGTCTTTATACTCTAACCGCCCACAATCAAATAAAAAGGGTATCAGAAACTTTAAAATAAAGATTGGTAGTGAGTAAGCTATGTGCTACTTAAGCTGTACATATACGTGAGGTAAACGGAGACTCCTGTTTCTTATATTTTTGACTTAACAGACAAGACACAGATGGAGATGAACAAGAAATGCTTATTTATCAGAAAATAAAGTATTTTATAAGGTAATATGATGAGTGGATAATTTATATAGGTATATAAAGCAAAGCTGGCTCTCAAATAAAGTAAATAACCTGTGAGGAGAGATGTGATTCCCCTTCCTCTGGACAAATTACCTCAGCAGGTTGAAGGCTCCTCTTTACTCTCACAGAGCACTTTACCACAGGACCTACACACACCAGTTACATATGATGGATCCTTAACAAGATGCTTATTTGTACCACTAAAATCAGCTTTCTTCCCTCAGCCAACCCCCAGACCATAACTAAAAAGCCAAATAAAAGCTTAACTTAGCTGATGCTCCTTTCCAGAGCCACAGAATCCCTACCCAAAAGTAAAACAGGTCTCTTCACCCTTCTTAAGGCTGAGACTGGCTCACCCCTTCCCATCCAGTGGACTTCCATGGGCTCTGATTGGCTGAGAATCAGTTGGATTTGCATGAGCCCTAAATCACAAGGATTGGTTCAGATCCCTGGAGGAGAGGCAGGGCTTTTAAGGATGATTGCCACAGGGACAAGAGCACCTCAGCCCACCATGCTGTGGGCTTAAACAGGCTCAGGTCCTTGAGGCATGTTTAAATCACTTTGAAATGGTGGTGGCATCCGCAGGTCTCACCTGAGGATGCTGTCACATCTAATTTGTCCTAGGCCTGTGATTTTTGGGCTTTGGTGTTAGATTCAGCCACTGAATGTGTGTATTGGATGCAAATGTTGCCATGGATTGGAAAATTGGCTTTTTAAAATTTGCAGTTGCAATTAGGCACTTGTTCACCCACATACTTAGCATGTAAGGTAGGATGGTGCAATAACTGTTGTGTGACGTTAGGACAGAAATTGCCAATTGAAATATATTGAAGGTATATTAAGTGCTGGACAGTCATTTTGGAAAGAATGGTTGTTGGTCTGCACAGATACAGACAGACCACTGGCATGCCTATAATCTAGCAGCCTTTGCAGATCACACATACAACTTTTTCTGAAATTTTGTCACTGGAATACAGTCCCTCGTGAGCAAGACCTTTGTTTTAATGTCTTCCAGTGGTCCTTTAGAAAATCAGTAGATTCCTATAGTAATTGGGACAGAACCAATGCATCTCTATAGTCATTTTTTCTGTAAGGTCTTTCAGGATCATCTGGTTGGAGATCTGGGCTTTGTTAGGCAGGAGTCTGTGCCGGCTGGATCTAGTAATCTCTACTGCAATGGAAATTTGGTCAGCCTCAATTTGTCTGTTCCCTTTCTTGTCTATTAAATATTACACTCTAATCTACTAGTGTTCCAATGAATAGTTTAAAGTTATTATCTTGAATGTCATGTCCCTGGCACTACCATGCTTCTGCCTTTTATAACAGGGACATTTTTAATAAGGATCCTTTTCAAACAGAGCACATACTTCAAAAGGTGGTTATAGAAAGGGATGTGTGCTTCGTTTTATAATTAATGCAGGATTGGCTGTAAAGCTGTTTATTGTAAGCAGTTTGGGCCCCCATATTTGAGAAGAAAAGCAAAATAAATATTTCATAAATCAAATGAAAATAATTATATGGTTGCTGTTGGACTTAATTTATGCTTTGTGAGCTGCCGGGGTTCAAGACCTCTCTGGAAGCCAGGGCTTCTTCCTTGGAATTCTACATCATGTGTGAATGTATGCAGTAGTGGTGGTATAGGGTGCAACAATGGGAAGCTGTTCAAAGCATTTCTAATAAAGGGTGTTTTTTTTTCTTATTTTACGGATCAGATTTCTCATCTTACTAATTCCAAAGCTCTGGAAGAAGGCAGCCAAGTTTAAAATCTACACCTATACTGTCCAGCTAAAATCAACCTTAATTAAATATAACCCACACAATTTGAGAAGATTCTATTTGTTCTGTCCCTATCTGCTAATTGCAAACTTTATTTTCAGGTTACCTGTCCCAGGTGAGTCTTTCTTCCTTATTTTGACCCTGTTCTGCTGTTTGGAAACTCTCAGGAAAAAGACTTTTATTCCCAAGAGCTCTCTGTTGCCACTTGTAACTTGCTAAATTTTTTCCAGTTTATACATGCAGACGTTTTTCTGCTACTTGGATGTTTGTGGCACCAACTATATTAGGGTTGCCAATATGTATACAGATAGTCTCTCTGTCTTTTTTCAGTAGCAGCATAACAAGGTGGAATTAAAAGGTAGAGCTTTAATAACCACAACATTTCTATTCTTGATGTGTATAGGGGGGCTCCTATTGATTCTTGCCTGTGGATCTTTAAAAAAAATGAGGGGAAACATAATGTTGGCACACAACTGATGCAGCATTGATTATACCTGCAGTAAGCAAAATATGCAGATTTAGTCAGTGTAGTCTATGTAGAACTTCCTAAGTCCTCTTCATAAACTACAGTGAATGCATGTAAAATCTGTGTACAGCATACACTTGTTTTTTCTTTGTGCACATGATGAGTAATTCTCATGTTGCATATAACACATGTACAGGTGAACACCACACATACAGGTAAACCCCAAACATCCTAGTACTGGTCCACAGGTAAAGTGAATGCTCTTTGGCTCTTTCTTACAGATGTGCAGATGCACATGCAGGATGTACATACATTCTGTAACATGTGGATGGGGCTGAAGTTAAAATATAATGCACCGAAGTATTTTATATATGTTTTAAGATGACTGTGACAGTTTAAAAATAGTCTATAAAATGAGGCTAAGAGATAGGAAAGCTTACATAGGTGCACATCTGCCCCTTAATTCCTAAACGGAAGCATGATTTTGCCCCAATTCTATGCTATTGCAAATCCTCTATTTTTTCCCCCTCATGTGTATCCTGCATTTCAGGTCAGTATCCATGGAGTCATCTACTCCCCATTTTGTTCTGAGAGACAGCAGTTGGTCCAAGGGTCACCTAGGTCCTGGTCACACTGGCCAGAGAATGCGAGGGGGAGGCGTGGCTTTTCGCTCCGCCGCACTTGTGACTCAGCCAAACGTGATCAGATGCGACGGCGGGGAATCAAGGGTAGCATTTTGTCAGCGCATGTTTCCGGCGTGCTTCATGTGGCGCTGGAGCGACCAGACGGAGGACGTCCATCTGTGGCCTGTCGCAAGCGGATA